GTCTACATCATGATCAGGCAGTGGTGTATTGCGACAGTTTGAGTGCAATATGCTTGGCCAAGGATCAAGTCCACCATGAGAGGACTAAGCACATCGACGTGAGGTATCATTTCTTGAGGACAGAGAAGAGGATTAAGGTGAAGAAGGTTGGCACCGCAGATAATCCTGCTGATATGTTCACGAAGCCGGTTCCACATGGCAAGTTCCAACACTGTTTGGACTTGCTGAATGTCTTGAGTGGGTGACTCCGCCCTACGGGGCATTGATGGCGGGAGAGAGAGAGAAGGAGCAGAGTACATCAGAGATTTTAGAGGAAGAGGATTCAAGTCAAGGTGGAGATTTGTTGATATGACTTGAATCGGACTATCAGCCGCTACGACTGGTAATCGGGGGCCCACGGTGTATGGGCTCAATGTTATTTGGGTTCGGGTTCTGGGCCTGGTCTGTAACCGTTTCCTTTGCTATATTGGATTAGGTTTAGACCCACATGGAGAAGTACTATAAATACTTCTCATACTCCTCTGTAATCTGTAATCTCCTCGATATAGTGAAACTGGCTCTCTCTCGCCCGTGAACTAGCTAACACACATCGTGTTAGTGAACCACGTAAATCGTGTGTCTGTGTTCTTTCGATTCTCGCTCTCGTATTCTTGCTTTATCGATTCCGGCAATTTCCCGATCCGTAGCAGCGCGTTTATAACACATAGATTTGGGATGATTTGGATGTGAATGCCGAGAGAGGGATGAAAATTGCAAAAACTACTCCCCGACGCTCCCTCCAACAGTAATTCAAAATGAAATGAGGCTTACTTAGACCTGTATTTAGACTCTCGAATTAAAAAAAAAAGACTTAAACCCCAAATCCTCACCAATGGATACTAAACGTGATTAATCCTTAGCTTCATCCAACAAGCTTTAGACCTCGGGAGTCGGGATTGCTCGCTAAATTTCTACATGAATCGAAACATAATTACATCTCAAAATTCAACACCTTTTATTAATAAATAAGTGAACTTTATTATAGTAAATCGTACTACACTATCAGTACTATGGGTGATTTATTACGAAGATTTGACTTTTTAAGGCTACTACTAATTATTGAATTAGTATCGGACACTAATGATAGAGGTTTAACTATTTGATTCAATAATCCATGTACAATTAATTTGAAAATTGCAAAAAACTCTCTGCGAATCTCCTTTGTTCTTATTCCTATCCTTAGGGCAAAAATGCAGAGAAAATGTAAGCCAAGAGAAATTGTCTTTTCGATGAGGACAATATATTAGACACCTCGTAATGAAATAAATAAATAAAATACTTTGGTTGTTGTTTCCTAGTCACACTTGTCAATAAACCAAAATATCACCAACTATGTGATAATGTGATATCCCACAACCACACAAAAATTAAAATTATGGGATTGTTAGGCCGTCATCCCATCAAATCAAATTGCAATCAATTTAACTAATTTGGGTACTAAGACTTTGATATCATCATTGCATCATGATAACCACACGCCAGCCTGGAATGTATATCACTAAAATCAATAGTTTATTTGTTTGTATTCTTGGTATATACAGAAGTTTACATTTTTGAATATCGAAGAACAGTTTGATCTTGATAGCTCCATCGATAAAGACTCGAGAAATAACTGGTAACTACCGCATAATGGGTGTAACGATAAATGCGGATATATGATTCAACCAAATATAGGTATAAATCTTGGGAGCGACAGGGTTATTACGCTAGTTTAACCACTCTCAGAGGCTTGTCAGGTGTTCATGAGAAATAAGATTTGCTGCCTATAATGAATTTCTTCGAGATAAATTTAATACCATGTGAATTAGTGTTCTCAAATGTCAATGACTTGAGTTATTGTGTGGTTGGTGCCATGCATAAATGTGAGCAATGACTACATGTTTAGCAATAAGTCAAACCCAACTTCATGAGATATAACACTTCAAACGCATTTAAGTATATGGCTTATAACTTAAAAGCAAGCAAGTTTTTGTGTCCCTTCGTGGGCATCCAATAAAATTGGAGAAGCAAGCAAGTTTATCAGAACATGATCAATGCAAATTATGCAATACTGATCTGTGATTTGGGCCATGAGGATTATGCTTTGAGAAACAGGCCAGGAAGCTTATTGAACGAGAGATGATTGAAGATCCAAAGCCCAAAATAAGATGGGCTTAGTTAAATGCCGAATTATCTAATTGCCAAAAATCTCGAATTTGGGGGTATGTTGTCTTTGTCCAAAGTTGTTAACAAAAATGGGCTCTACAAGAAACAACTAGCATTTCAGCAAACTCAATAGGCCCATGGAGAACAAAACAGGCCCATAAAATCAGAGCTCCCCAATTGTTTTTGTCAAAAACAAAAAGCCCGTGTAGTCATTGGGCCTGTGCTCCAGTAGAGAAGCAAGGGAATAACAAAAAAGGGCCAATACTACGGTGCCGCTCTAAAAAAATGCGGTACCGGTGTCACTTCTTCTGATTGGTCCACACAAGCTATGATGTGGCACTGGCTGCGTCATTATCAAGTCAAGCCCAAATCCAAACCCGTTTAGCATTAGCTAGCCAAACCCACCCAAACTGACGGAAAAGCTGTCGTCCGTCTTCTCATCAGTGTTTTGTCGTTGCTTTTTTATTTTGAACATTAATTCCTTTTACTTTGCATTTAATTATTACTTGATTTTTTTCTTCATAAACAAGTGAATAGAGACACGAACCCAAAAGCACTTCATCGTCTTCTCCATTGTATCAGTTGAAGATGCAAAAGGAAGAGGACCAGTATGCAGAGTATCTAACACAACTGATACAGAGTAACAAACCAATTTTCTTATTACAAACACTTGGAGAAGAGCATAGTTTGAATCTAACGCCACTACTGAAGTGAATCACAACATGAATTACTAGCTAATAAGGCTGCAAATAGTAACATAGTACCACTACTCGACAAAATACTTAGAACCAAAAACCAGACAACAGAGATATATCAGCATGGAAGAAGAGAAGGAGAGTCGCTTCTACTCTCAATCGGGCGAGGCACCACCTGCAGCAGCTACTTAGTAGGCCACATTCACCTTCATCTTCACACCCTGCATCCAACAGCAGTTCCCACGGCTACTGATGAAGTAGAAAGGCCTCGAAAGTGTCAGGTTGAACACATCGTGCCCACCTCTCGTTATGTTCATGATGAACCCTTCCTCACCGCAACAATTGTAGCCTTCACCTCCAGCATATCGTACAAAGTGTTGTTGAACCCGAAACCTGCATGATGTGAAAGGTCATCTCATAAAAAGATTTGTTCAAGCACAGCGTGAGTAGTTTGATCATCACGCAAGTATTGGGTTGGAAATGATTGATACAGTTTGCTTACCTTTTAGCTTGAGCAAGGCAATTGTACCTGGTGGAAGTCACTTTTCCTGCAACATCAAGAAGTCGAGAAGCCTCAAAAGCAGTTGATTTCACAGTCAATTTCACGTGATAGTAAAACTCGTCTATTGAGTTATGCATCATGAACACAAACTGGAGAAACTCACGTAGTGGCCATGATTCACTTCAGAATTTGCTCCACAAGTTTCTGTAATCCTTACTAAAGAAAGCCCCCGAGGTACAAAAACTAGTAAAATAGTCAATGACGGAGGTGGTAATGAACAAGAAGTTTGGAGGAGGATGTGGTATTCATTCACCTGAAAAATTAGTTGGGGATCGACAAAATCAACTAGTAGCTTCTGCAATTTCCCCCGGACCAGAAACAACCTGGTAAAGAACAAAAATGAGATTCAGTACCAGTTCCTTCACCCCAATAAGATAAACTGCTGAAAACAATCATAAAGAAAACACGCACCTCTTAGGAGACGGATCAATCATGATTTCAGTAGCGATTTCTCACATTCGGTTCTGATTTCACATTTAGCTCCACATGATGATTGATTAGTGTTTGATATTATTGGAACCACCACCTGAGCTCCCTTTTTTCGCCTGTAATACTCGTCGAAAGTTGACGATGTCACTCACATGATGCAGAAGGGGCATTCCGTGGATGCTTCCTTTTTCCGATGTTCAATGTTCTTTCCTGCAAGCAGAATGTTATGGATGAGTTTCCATAGGAATATCTTGATCTTAGGTGGAATTACCAGCCTCCATAACCGCTTCCAATTCATCAGGTCGTAGGTCTCAGTATTACCCCCTCCCACCAGTCTTCCAGTTCTTCCTCATTTAGCTCCACCAAACCTTCTGTATCAACTGGAAAACCAGTCTGTTCTGAAGAGAAAAGCATGTATGCCGTTTTGACTGTATACTTTCCTGACTTTTCATAAGCCCAAACCTCAGTATCAGATGATGGCTGGCGAGGAATTGTAATTCCTTCAATCATTGCTCTGTCTGTTGGGTTAAAGTGGAGATGCAGTAGAGGTTTCCTTCATTGTCTTAGATCATAATCAATAAGATCACTCGCCTGTTCTAAATTGGCAGTGACTAACCGGGTACTTGTAACTTTGGATCCTGCTTCTTCAGCCCCTGTCACCCATCTATCATCCCAAATTTCACTCTCGAATCATTCCCGATCCTCCACCTGATTCCTTTTTTGACAAATTGCCGAGCCACCATAACTTCTCCTTGTATAAGTTGGATTTGCTCCAAGACTAGCATGTAGGACATCGTGATTCGAGTAGTACTTAGCTTCTAGGACCCTTGCTGCCAGAGATTCTGGATTGGTTAAGAGGTTCCAAATCTCCTTCCCCAGCAGGACAAGGTTAAAGACATGAAAGTCTTTAAACCCCATACCACCCTCCTTTTTTCGATTTACACACTTTCTTCCAAGCTCTTCATCAAATTCTCTTTTCTTTCTTCTGCCATCCTCATCAAAAACTTGAGACGGCCTTTCTAATCTCCGCAATCACCCCTTGTGAGATTATAGACATGAAAGTCTTTAAACCCCATACCACCCTACTTTTTTTTTATTTACACACTTTCTTCCAAGCTCTTCATCAAATTCTCTTTTCTTCCTTATGCCGTCCTCGTCAAAAACTTGAGACGGCCTTTCTAATCTCCACTAGGCACTATCCCCCCACCCCATCTTCTTCCATCGCCTTCCCTCAGGCCTCAACTGTCTTGTCAGCCTCGCTATCTTTTTTCTGAACTTGTCCAGTCCACTGCCCGCTAACCAAACTTTTGCAGACCTCCCCCTTTGTCCCAAGAAGAGAGAAAACTAGAAGAGAGAGAAACTTTCCTTCTCTCCTTCACAAACTCAACAAAACCCATTAATGAAAACTCCCTAGGAACAGGCACTAGCAGATGCAGAATGCAAAGCCCGTCGCCGTTGCAGCAGAGACTGTGGCTGCTGCAGCGACCCAGCCACACCTATTCGACGCCGTTCCTTTCCGCTTCTCCTCCAAGGAACAACCGATTCCCCTTCTCCCCACTTTACCTTCCCTTCCCGGCCCGAGGCCGCCGAGCCCTCCCCGGCGGCGGCGGCGGCGAAGACAGTAAGCTAACAGAACCAGCAACACGCCTTGTTAAGGACAGCAATTTCAGCGATATCAGCATCGATTCACGAGTGGTCCTGTCGTCCTGCCTCGTCGGCCTCCTCACCGGCATCGCCGTCGTCCTCTTCAACAACGCCGTGCACGAACTCCGCGACCTCTTGTGGGACGGAATTCCTCACCGAGGCGCTTCCTGGCTGCGAGAGGAGCCGCTCCACTCCAATTGGGCCCGGGTCGTCTTGGTCCCCGCTGCCGGCGGATTGGCAGTCGCCGCCTTGAACCAGCTGCGCTCTTCTCTCCCCGATTCCTCCGCCCTCCTCCGCCCTGTTCTCAAGGCGCTGTCGGCTTCCTTCACCCTCGGCACCGGCAATTCCCTCGGCCCCGAAGGCCCTAGCGTCGAAATTGGGGCTTCCATCGCCAAGGCAATTGGGGCATCGCAATCAGACTCCAACACCAAGCTCTCCCTCCTCGCTGCCGGATCCGCCGCGGGCCTCTCCTCTGGTTTCAATGCCGCCGTCGCTGGCTGCTTCTTCGCCGTCGAGTCGGTCTTGTGGCCGTCTCCCTCCGATTCATCATCCGGGTCACTAACCAACACCACCTCCATGGTTATACTCAGCGCAGTAATCGCTTCCGTTGTATCACAAGTCGGTCTGGGCTCCGAACCTGCATTCAAAGTCCCAGATTACGACTTCCGCTCTCCGAGTGAGCTACCTCTGTATCTGTTGCTGGGTATACTCTGCGGCTTGGTTTCACTAGCCTTATCTAGATGCACCTCATTTATGATCTTGGCTGCAAACAAGCTACACGAAGAGGCCGGGATACCAAGAGCTGCGTATCCTGTAATTGGTTCCTTGGCGACTGGGGTAATAGCATTGGCATACCCGGAAATCCTTTACTGGGGGTTTGAGAATGTCGATGTTTTGCTCGAATCCCGGCCATTTGTGAAAGGGCTGTCAGCTGATCTGTTGGTTCAGCTGGTGGGAGTCAAGATTGTAGCGACGTCTTTGTGTCGTGCATCTGGGTTGGTAGGAGGCTACTATGCTCCTTCTCTGTTTATTGGTGCGGCGACTGGAATGGCATATGGCAAGCTCATTGCGCTTGCAGTTGCTCAGTCCCATTTTACGGATCAACTTTCCATCTTGGAATTGGAAGTGGCTTCACCACAAGCTTATGGCCTGGTATGTTTTCTAAGACATTGTAATAGCCAAGCTGCAGTTCTCTGTATCACAATTATGCTAAATTGCTTAGGGTGTGGTGTTTCTTTAGCTGATTTGTAGGAGTGGGAAAATGGTTAGATTGAGGGGGACTCTGAACTGGCGAGCTGTTTTCCATGTATGTATACAACCAGATTAGCCGTAAAAACTGGCTGAGCTGATAGTGTACTCCCGGCAGTCAGCAAAATCAGCTTGTGAAACTATAGGCAACAATTGTGGGGGGTTTTGCATTCTGTGATTTACAGTTGAAGATGAATTTCAGATGACTGTCTTCATCACTGAGCTAACTTTCTGCAGGCACAAAATATTTGTTTCTCGTAATGAAATGAAATGAAATTTCTCCCATTTTCAGGTTGGAATGGCTGCAACTCTAGCAGGAGTGTGCCAAGTGCCTCTGACTGCAGTTCTACTAATGTTTGAGCTCACGCATGACTACCGAATAGTTCTCCCACTACTTGGAGCCGTCGGATTATCTTCATGGGTAACCTCGGGTCAAATGAAAAGAGATGGTAGAGACGTCATGAAAAAACAAGATTCGAAAGATCCTACTACTCGGGCTCGAAATAATAAGGGAACATCATCCTCAGATGCAAGGCTCCCTCCCACCACCGCAAGCGACCTCTGTGAAATTGAAGCTTCCCTTTGCATGGATGATTCCGTTCTTACAAGTCCAGCATCTAGCAAACCAATCCTCGTTTCTCAAGCCATGAGAACCAGATACGTAGCTATTTCTATGAACACTTTACTTAGTGAAGCAGTGAGACTTATGCTTAAAGAGAAGCAGTCTTGTGCTGTAATTCTTGAACATGATGGTGCCCTGATTGGGTTACTTACACTTGAAGATATCGAAAACTTCATCAAAACTGTGAAATCGGGAAGCTGGAAATTAGAGGTAAAAAGGTAGATCTCTCATTCCGTGATGCAAGACTGTAGTACCATGGCTGTAGTACCATCTTGACTGGTCGTTTTTTTATTATCCATTTCAGGAGTTCCCTGTATCGGAATTATGTTCATCAGGTGCCCGAACCTGTGAGGTGCCTTGGACCGTGAATCCCAGCATGGATCTCCTTTCAGCACAGCAGATGATGGATAGGCACGGTTTTGATCAGGTGCCAGTCATCTCGGAGAGTTTGAGAGGCGGAAGAGGCTATCTAGTTGGCCTTTTGGACAGAGAATGTATCGATTTTACGCGCAGGTTTCTCAGCAGCAACATACTCAGTTGAATTATTTCGTGACTCGTCATGTGCTCAATTACCCATATTTGTAAATGCAAGGGGATTAATCCCATGACATGGTTTTGTGATCAGTTTTGCTGTATAGTTCATTTGTAAATGCAAGTGATTAATCCCATGACAGGGCTTTTGTGATCGTTTTTGCTGTAAAGTTCATTTGCATATTTTGTATGCAATGTAAATCCACAGAAAGATAAATATAACTAAGCAATATCGTATTGTATATCGACTACCGCGTGTGTATAGACTATAGAGTCGGTTTTGTAAGTTAGTATGTTGGTTACTGTCTTCTTGGCATATCTTGGGGAAAAAAAATTGGTGAATGGATCTAATTGCCTAAAATCTCGAATTTGGGGGTATGTTGTCCAAAGTTGTAACAAAAATGGGCTCTACAATAAAAACAGCTAGCATCTCGGCAAACTCAATTGGGCCCATGGAGAAGAAAACAGGCCCATAAAAACAAAGCTCCCCAATAGTTTTTGTCAAAAACTAAAAGCCCGTGTAGTCATTGGGCCTGGACTCCATAAGAAAGGGCATAGCGGATAAAAAAGCAACGTGACCCATAAGAAAACAAAATAGAGGAAAGAGAGAGAGAGTAAGGGGATAGGGGAAATAAAAACAAGTCACGTGTGCGCACGTGAGAATAATGGTGGTGGCCTCGCGTGCCGGCGTGCATTACTTTTTAAATTTATTCGAATGTGGGGCCCCCACGTGAGCAGGCAGCTGTGCCTTTCCTTACTCTTTCTCCATCTGGCAGCTGACTGACAATTTCCTCTTTCCTCCCTAATTTCTTTGTTGTTTTCTAATTAAAACCCATGAGTTCTTTTTTTGACCAGTCTGACACGTCAGTGGTGTCAGTCCCACCAATTTTGGTTCTTTCTTCTTCTACTACTCTACTCTCTCCCTGTCCTCTCTAGTCATGTGTGAACCAGAAACCATACAAAACAATAAAAAGAGTATGGAGAGAAAGAAAAAAAAAAAGTAGGAAAATGATATTACCACAAAGTGACAAATTTCATTTCATTGTAGGTGATTAGAATTGTACATTTATCCCATCGACTCTTTAATGGTAGTGGGTGGATAATTCACGGTTTGATATTGACTAGCAACAAATAACTCAAATTTTAAAGAGTGAGTAACGGGTGTTGGTAGATTGTGGATCGATAAATTCCCAACCTGTATTTATTTGGGTAGGTTGCTCGCTATTCATTTTCATATGACAATGAGTTGTTCCTTGCTTATACTATTGTATATTCATTATATTTACTAATCGCATTACACACTGACCCTCTACTTTCAAAAGGAAAACACATAGCTTTTGAACTACTGTTGGTTACTATGTTAATGTCCGTTAGCTATTGGGATGTATATATATTATACCTTATTAGTTGTATGAAAATCGCATAGAGCATCAATTTTCTCTGCGTAATTGGTCGAGAGAGTAATTTAAGAACTCGTACCAGTAAAAGATGGACTCACACGAGATAACGTGAGAAGTATCTAACTTGATACAATCCAACAAATTTGTGAGTAATTTATTATAAATATTAGTCAATTTACATAATAATTAGTCAGAAAATTACTATTGCGGGTTAACCTTCAACCCACCAACACCAATTAACTTGCCAATCCACCCAACCCAAATTAAAGAAGAACGTGGGTATACAGCAGGTCACAATTTTATTAATTCATCAATAAATATATGAGTAAATTTAAGATCGAAACCCACACAACCAACCCATAGTACATCTCAAATTATCACTGATATCCCAACCCTCACCTCTAATTTCTTTCTCCCTAAATTTCGTCTATATCAATTCCTCTTGACCAAAGATCTTGATTCTGATTTTGACCAGCGGGGAAAGGAAGATCTGATTTTTATTTTTTATCCATTATATATATATATGTAGCAATTTGTACGCATTTTATATCTCAGAAGAGCATTTTGTCACATGCATGATCAACAACAAGGCTTTGTTATGTCATTCGATGTTCTCCTAAAGCGTCGTATTAGTTAGTTTGGAGTCAAACTCCCGATCTCCTTTTCTTGGCGTTTGATGCTGTTCAACGTTGTTGAGTGTTGAACGTTAGAAACTCAAACCCCTCACTATATAGAAAAGGCATGGAATAGAATATGGCGCAAAAGAAAACCATGAAGAACCCAAGGGAGAGAGGGACAGATGAAGACAAATCGATGAGGTTGGGGGAATATCTCGGGAAGCACTATACAATTTTGGGAGTATTACATGTGTAATTTTGTTGTTGTGATTACATGATCTCTATGTGAATGTGCTGAAAACGTGATAATGGGCTGGGCTTCACAAACGTTGTCGTCGGACCTAATGGCTTGCCGAATTACATTGGCCCAGTGCTCAGGGTTAAGATCCGGGCCCAGAAAGAATCAAACTGCTCAGGGTTAGGATCTATTTTCTTTTTACTAAGGACCGGTGGTATTATCATTAGGCCAAATTTTTGTTAGTCTCTTAAAGGTTTAATTGATTCATTTGTGTTTGAATTGGTTTTCATAAGAGGTTAATGCAAACCAAATTTTTAATTTGATGATTTTTCTTAAGTTCTTATAAGAAGTGTGTTTGATTGGTTGCTATTTGTAATCTCTTCTTCTGAACAAATAAGGTTGTTGTTGGTTCGAGATTTGAAAGCGTTAATCTATTTTAATAAAATTTCTTGTAGGAAAAAAAAAAATAAAGAATAGTTATAATCATTACGGTTGATACTCACGAACAAAGCACACAAGACACAAATCCACAAGTAGATCACGTAACAGGCAAACCTTATTTGCATCATGAGAGAGAAGCAAAATCCGAATCCACCGGAAGATCGCACCTGCCCGAGCAAGCATCAGTTGAAAGCATGGATCAGAACCAATCTGCCATAAATATCAAATTGTAAACCAAATATTGAGCACAACCATAGTTGACTCTGCTGCATGTTCGAATTTTTTTTTTTTTTATTACCTTAAACTTGAGAGCTGAGCCAGACAAGGATCTTCTTGTCTCTGGTCACAATTTTATTTTTTGGTTAGTATTGTAACTTGTGCTGGGACTCTACTGTGTGTTTTTGCATAGTTCATGCATCTTGTCTAGGACATTTCACCAGTGCTGCTGCTGACACCAGGGGTGGAAGGAAGAAGAGGCTTTAGCACCCAAAGTTGATAGTCAAAACCCCTATCCCCTTCTTAATAAAAAATCTACCGCAGGAGTGAAGAAGACAGAGAGAGAGAGATAGAGATAAGAAGAGAAAGGAAGGAATACGAGGACAGTTTTGACTCTCTCTGTCAAGAACTGTTTTGTGGGCAGCAAATTAATATTTGAAGCCTTCAATTCAACAGGTGGAGGCTTGGGGAAGAGGGAAAAAAACAGTGGAAAAGGGAATCATCTTCACTGCAAAAATCTTCCCAGCCCAGCCTTACAAAATACAAATCTCTGGATCTGTTGAGAGAGAGAGAGAGAGAGAGAGTTGGGGATTGGCAAATGGCTCTGGGCTCGGCTGTGAACCAACTACATTGTCGGCTCTCATTACCACCTTCTTCATCATTTCTCCGATGGAGGTGACTTAGGTTTTTCTCCAAAAAAAGGTGACTTAGGTGAGCTGACCTTTCTTAGAGCTGGTTGCTGGGTTTGAACTTTGGAGTTAATACGACATTACACAATTTTAGTATTGATAATTGTTGAAGTTGACATGGATTTTCGATGATTTATCATTGTTTTTATCGTTTTCATTTCATTAACTTGTTTATCTTAGAAAGATAGAATGATGATCAAGAGTCAAGACATTTACTATTATGTTAGACTGTAATCGTTACACAACAACGTTATTCTATTAACAATCTATATCATTGTTTAGCCAAATATCAGTAGGCAAATCAAATCAAGTTCTCATATTTTTTTTTTACACAAATGACCAAAATTTTCATTTAGAATCCTGCATATAGTTGAAAGAAAATGTATAGTTGAGTCACCAATCAACAAAAGCACAACTTGTGAAATGAATTGCATGGTAGTCATTTTACTAATTGAGACACATTAAGCAGAGCACTTATGTTAAACCCAATGGCAGAGCTAGGTTAAAGATATAAATGTTTATAGCACCAATAGATTTTGAAATATAGATAAAAGTTTACAACGATTCAATGAACTCCCTGTTTTAATTTCTAACTCCGCCATCGGTTAAACCAATAAATATGTGAATTAGATTCAATGAACTCCCTATTTTAATTTCTAACTCCGCCTTCAGTTAAACCAATAAATATGTGAATTAGATGCAAGCCATCGTTAGCACAGAAAGGTCCATAGAGTTGGCTACTAACTTGGCTGACTATGAGATCTATTCCCATCCATAAACAAACAAATGTGAAGACCTATTCCCAAAGCAAAATGCAGAGATAGAGAGAGAGAAGAAGAGAGACATGCACGCATACACATCACATAATGACTGCAGGTTTAGACATTTCTCATCTCTTTTCTCTCTTTGTACAAAACCACAATCCCATAATTATCTTTTCTTCAAGTTTTGTATTTTCTTTGTCACATAAATTTCCCAAATTTCCCCCCCTCATCTTCTTCCATTGGCTTCCCTGAACTGTCTTGTCAGCCTCACTGTCTTTTTTCTCAACTTGTCCACTGCTCCCTAACCAAACTTTTGCAGACCTCCCCCTTTGTCAGAACTCTCCCCAAGATGAGAGAAAAAAAAAAAACGAAAAGAAAAAAGAAACAAACTTTCCTTCTCTCCTTCACAAACCCAACAAAACCCATTAATAAAAACCCCAACCAAACCCTGCAGAAAAGCTTACTCACTTCACCAAAGTTAAGAGAGAACAAAACCCAAACCCTCTCTCTCTCTCTCTCTCTCTCTGTCAATGGACTTCCATCTGAAGCAATGGAGAAACCAACATGAGTCAGAAGTGGAAGAAGAACAACAGCAGCCATCCTCCAAGATTCCAAAACTCCTCTTGGATCCCTCTCCTCCTTCCTCTGGTTCTTCTGACCAGCATCATCCTCATACTCCTTCTACCACTACTCCTCTCCCTTTGTTTGTACCTTCAGCTGATTCATCACCAACTAAGCTCACCAGCAGCCTCAACTACAGCAATCTTTCAGCTGTTCCCACAAGTAATAAAGAAAACCCCAACTCTCCACTATTCATTTTCCCTGTTTGGTCTAATTTGAGCCGAGAAAAGATTCCACCTTTACCTCAAAACCCACTTCCTTTCTTTTCACCCTTCATTCCCCTCCCCTTTGTTTGGCTTAGTTTTGTGATAAAGTTTGGACCTTTACTTCCACCCCACTTCATTATTTTCCCCCATCTATTCCTCTGTTTTTTTGTTGTTGTTGTTGTTCACTCTCTGTTTTTGTTATTTGAATAGGGATGGGAAGTTACTTCAGCTTGGCGCAGTGGCAGGAGCTGGAGCTACAAGCTTTGATCTACAGATACATGTTGGCTGGAGCTGCTATCCCTACTGAGCTCCTCAACCCAATCAAGAAGAGCCTTCTCCTTCACTCTTCCTCTGCTTCCCCTGCTTCCTTTTTCCTTCAGCATTACTCCAATCCTTATCAGCCTTCTGCTTGTAAGTTGTTGGGATCTTTTACTTTTTCAACACATGTTGTTATGGCATTGCTTCTGATTCATTTTTTCCGACATAGGTGGGTAGTTAATTCTTGAGAGAGTAAAAATGACGTCTTGGGTTGGTTCTAGACTGTCTGTTCCTCATAGATATTTGGACCCTTTTTCTTTGTGCTTCCCAAGCTCTTGAGATGCTACTCTTGTTGGGAAGAAAAAAATTGTGTTTTTTAATGCATCAGAATTTAAATCTTGAGAGCTATCTATCATGATACATATCTCACATCAAGACTGGAGCTTTTTTTTAACTGTATGGATCTGTTTTTTTGGTTTTGGTAGTGTTGCAGGGAGGGTATTGGGGAAGGGGAACCATGGATCCGGAGCCGGGGCGGTGCCGGAGAACCGACGGCAAGAAATGGCGGTGCTCGAGAGACGTGGTGGCCGGCCAGAAGTACTGCGAGCGCCACGTCCACCGCGGCCGCAACCGTTCAAGAAAGCCTGTGGAAGTTACCACCGCCGCCGTCCCCTCTGTTATTGGTGGTACTGGTTTCAACAACTGCTCCACCGCCTCGCCATACGGCGGTAGCTCTGCTCGCCCGCCGCTGTCGATCCCTCTAGCTAGTGGGGTCGGCCGAGGAGGCGGCGGATCGTTCCCTTCTGCTGATCTGCTTCATCTAAGCCAACGGTAAATAAAAATTTCATCTTTTCGACCATTATCAAATTTTTTTTTTCATCTTTTCGAGTAACCGATTAATGGGTTTTGGTGGGTTTAATTCGGCGATTAAAGGGTCTTGTCTTGTCTCCTTTTCTCAAGCAATGGGGGAAGTTGTTTCCCCAAGTTGGGGATTTTATGAGACGTCGCTGTTTTTTCAGTTCTTTAGAGTGAGCACTAAGTTGAAGAAGAGAGAGTCAGAGTGTTGTTGCTGCCCCACCATTTTTTTTTTTTGGTTGGTTGCTGGTGGGCAAAGTTACAAAGTAGGACCAGTCCCATTTATGTCTCAAATCTGGGGAGAATTTTCGGATCTCTGATGAAATGGACAAAACAATGGCCTCTTTTTCCTTGCCCTTATCTTCAAAACCTTTTCAGTAAGGCATGGAATATGGGTACGTAGTTGTTCTCTCCATTGTCATTAAATCTGAAATGCTCTGTTTTTTTTTGTTTTTTTGTTTTGCTCTGTTCAGATCGGGGACGGAGGCTTGCAACAACAGATCGGACGGCGGACACGTCCTGAGACACTTCTTCGACGACTGGCCGAGAGAGTCGGAGGACAGTGGCGCCGGACATTCCTCTACATGCCTGACGATATCGATGCCGGCGACGGCTTCCGACGTGTCGTTGAAGCTGGCTACCGGCAACGACGGCGGGGAAGAGGAGGGTGGAGGGAGCGAAAGGGCCCAGGCCCAAATCAACTGGGCCACGGGGTGGGCCGGGAACCATATGGGTGGGCCGCTGGCCGAGGCCTTTAGATCGTCTTCCTCCGCTTCGAATTCGTCTCCTACAAGCGTTCTAGGCCAGCTGCCTCGCGTCACTGCTTCTGCTGAGACCAGCTTCGTCAGCGCTTAGAGAAACACCCTCATTTGATTTTTCTCCTGCTTTGGAAATCTGTGTATACGACACCGTTTAATAATCGCCTGGGTTCTTTGTTCTTCATGCTTCGGTTTGTGGTTTGTTTGTATGAGATGTAAGTTGATTCATAACATTTTGTTCCTCAAAGCATGCCTCTAGTGTTCTACAGTTGATTGCATTTGTTTGACGACAATCGTTCCAATTTTATCTGATGTCTCTTGAAGGAATCGAGCCTGTACGTAATTTTGTCAGACGAAAACTCGATACAAGGTTTGACTTATAATTATTCAGGAAGGAAGGTGGTAGAATGACATATTATTATGATCGACTACATGGCAAGGCGCAGTATTATGATTTTATGAGGCATTCTCTGTACAATAGACTAGTGATAATAAATTAGATTATTGCTAAAACGAGTATGGGAGTTGAGCTATCATCATTACTTACGCCTCTACAACCTAGCTAGACTAGGCCAATTGAAGCAGCGTGACAGCTTCACCAATGCCATGAAGCCGAAGTTGTCCACCCCTCCCTCTCTGCTTCTTCGCCTTGTCACGTCGTCTCCGGATGAACTGCTTGCAGAGCTAGATTGCCATGAGAATTGGAATCTAGAGAGCTGAAGTAGTAAGCATCATTTTGCAGCTGCGACTGTATCTGTGGCCTTCTCATGCAGCTGTAGCGCCAACGAGATCTGAGTGCCGATTATTCTTAGCTCTGGACGAGCTCTGATGCAGCATCCAGCTCTGCTGCTGCCTCGGGTGCTTCGGGTTCTGGCTCGACATGTTTGACGGAAGCAGCAGCTGATTCGATCTCGAGGGGAGCGGATTGAGGTTTATCCTCCACCAAAGCGTAGACTACTGCTGTTCTTGCTGGGGCGTAAACCATGATCGATCGAGGCCTGTCGTCGTACCAACCGTCCTGTCAAAGAAACAGTAACAATATTTAGTGAGTAGATAAATACACACAAGTTTGACGGAGCTGTAGAGGGAGGAGTGAAGGAGGTTTTCGTACGAAGGTGAAGTATTCGGCATTGTGATCAAGTCTGTCGAAGCCTCCGAAGAGTGCATCATCCGAGTCCAAAACAATCTGTGGAGAGGAAGAAAGAAAGTGTGACGTGTTTGATACGGAGATGAAGGAAGTTGGAGAAGCGGGAAGAGAGAGTGTGAGGGCGCGTGTACCTTGTACTTTCCAGTCTTGTGGCAGCCGATTCTGTAGTCGGAGTAGCTTTTGTTCCAGTGGAAGTTGAAGACGAACACAAGGTTCCCTCTCTCAAACACGATCACCCTATCGCCTTCGTCTTTCCTCGATATGTACTGGTGAATGTCAGTCATGAACTGTACGAGAAACCAGAACCAACAGCTCAATCGTCATTTTCCATATCGGAAACAAATACTAAGGCAATATCCAAGCATATAAATGGAAGGAACAAGCAGATGAATAGGGCATCATCGACTCACGCCATAGGTTCCTTCAAGGTGATGCATTGCCCGATCGAATTCTTGCAACCCATGGTACCTTAGATATTCTGCGTCCCCCTGCGCAAACATAACCAAACAGAAGGGTGACTATTGTTGTGAGAAAAAAGAAGCTAAACCGCATACAGTCTCAATGAGGTGAGTTTAATTTTGTCCAACAGAGGTGACTAAATGATGAGTGCTGTGCCACAATATTCATGGCCAACTTACCAGATCAAATCTACGTCGGCATTTATCAAAACTGTTGTTGTTCCCTGGAACAACTTTGCCATTAGGAAGATGCTGCTCGCCTCTTGGAAAATCAATCCACTCTGCATAAACACGAAGTAACAGGCACCATTATCATCTACGAATATGGTGATCGTTCTTGTCCAATGAACATTCATGAAGAAAAGAAGAGGTAAGAGTGTTTACCAGGATGTCCGAATTCATTTCCCATGAAATTCAAATATCCTTCACCGCCCAATGCCATGGTGATAAGTCTGATCATTTTGTGCAATGCTATGCCCCGATCAATGAGAGGAGTGGCTGGCCGGTCAAGAGCCATGAAGTCGTACATATCCTAAGAAAAATGAACACATTTGAGATGGATATTCTGACACAAGCCATACGAGGTAGGTAATAAGTTCTCAATGATACTACCAACAGAACAAATAAATGACACTCAAATGTCAGGAATATGAAGAGTACTGGCTCTATTTGTTCACTGCCTGATGTATGTAGCATCTAAAAGGGTCACCATATAAAGTTAATAAAGAAGTAGGACCTTGTCCATCAACCAGAAGGCAATAGTCTTGTCGCCAACAAGAGCTTGATCATGACTTTCTGCGTATGAGACACATTTCTCCAACCATCTTCTGTTAGTCAAGGTGTGAACGATATCGCCCATTCTCCAGTCTTCATCTCTCTTCCTACAGAAAGCATGGACACGTTAAATATATAGTTCAGAGCTTCTTCCCCCGTAAGGAAACATCAAGCAGGCTAAAGAATAAAATAGATCCAGATTCCAGACCAAATAATTTATTTATTCTATTATTTGTATCAACATACTGTAGAAGCTCAATCCATTTATCAGCAACGGCCATATGAAGACGGTAATCGAATCCCACACCACCATCTTCGATAGGAACGCAAAATGTAGGCATTCCACTAACCTGTGAAACAAAATGTGAAAGGCACGCAATGAATCCAGAGATTAGGTTATATTCTAATCCGTAGAGGAATTATAATGTCAATTTCCAGGAGGAGACAGCAAACATACATCTTCACCAATGGAGACAGCCTCGGGGAAAAGGCCATGAATCAAATCATTAACAAGCATCAGATAGACGACAGCATCTACATCAGTTGCAAATCCAAAGTACTCGTTGTAGTTTCCTGTAAAAGTCATCTATAAGAAGATTTTAATTAGCTGATAGTTAAGCAGTTTTGGAGCACAGATAACAGAACAGTTCAGTGAGATAGGCAGAAAACTTAAAATCTTAACAAAGATGGTTATCTAGTAATTGCATGAATGAAAGAGCAGTTAATTCAGTCTATGCTATAAAATCACAGCTCAATACCTGCAATCCATGATGAGTGTACATCATTGAAGTAACACCATCAAATCTGAACCCATCAAATTTATACTCGTCCAACCACCATCTTGCATTTGATAGAAGGTATCTAACAACCTGAATTAACCAACACGGTCAATAAGTAGGAAGGAGGAAGCAGAGCATAGGTATTGACATGTTCCCAAGATTCTACCTCCCAGCTTCCGTAGTTGAAAAGGCGAGAGTCCCACATCCAATGATGTCCCCGCGATCCAGAGTGGAAGTAGTGGGAATCAGTCCCATCAAACATGTTCAGCCCATCCAACGTGTTATTTGATGCATGGCTGGATCCAAGAGAAGCATATGATATATAAGAGAAATCCATTTTATAGTAATGAGTGTGTTCAAATCTATTTGGGGAACAACATAGGCATGGTTGCATGGTATTGAACACAGGAAACCAAATTTTGATTACTGCCTAAAAACCAAAGCCTGATTAATGGCTAGAAGCAGTTCAGTCAATATAAACCCTAGTTTTATCTCACTTTCTCACCTGTGAACAATATCCATGAGAACAAGTAGACCTAGCTCGTGAGCTTTATCAATCAGAGACTTCAAGTCATCTGGTGTCCCAAAACGACTGCTAGGCGCAAAAAAGTTCGTGACATGGTAGCTGCAGCACAGAAAGACATATTTTGAGTTAACAGTTCAACATCCTCGAAATCAGCCACACAATTTAAACCCTTTGACAAAATGAAAAGAGAAAGGCGCTCTCAATGTTAAAACTATTAAGGTACCCGAAGCTGGCATAATATGAGTGCTCCTGAATAGCCATGATTTGAACAGCATTATAGCCGAGCTTCTTGATGCGGGGCAGCACTTCATCTCTGAAGTTAGCATATGTGTTGATCTTTGGTTCCTGTGTTCAATTGCACATATTAGAAGGGATGATATATACAGCAGAATGTAAAAGAGTAGAAGCATGGAACCTGTTTGTATTGTGTTAATAATACTGAAGAACAAGAGACTAGCAACAAGTTTAACCATCAACACTATGTCCAGAAACTATATGGCAGAGAGTGGAGAAAATTACCGTACTGCTCATTCCAACATGTGACTCGTAAATCCTCAGCGATTTTGGTTTTTTGGGTTGTGGATGCTTAAACACATGCTTCTCCTGTAACAAAGAAACACAAGATTTTCACCAGATAAGTTTTAAATATCCATACTTAAGACCAACGGGTGCACTCAGCACATTAAACTTGTATACAAGTAGGCAGCAACAAGAATTTAACTACCAATAATTTGAAAAAGAAAAAGAGAAGAATTGTTCCGCTGGCTGAAACGTGGTATCAACGGAGTGGCTTCCAAACACTCTCGATAGTGGGTACTTGCTGAGGCATTATTAAGAATTTGTACACAAACTAACATATGCCTTGGTGCAACTAAGAGCAGAAACTTATCACTTTCAAGCTTAAGCTCAGTCTGAAATACTGCGCTAATCAGATACTATTGGTTGCACCTACTACAAGAGGTCATAATGTTTCTGTAGAACATAAATTCTATCAGAAAGTTTGTGTTTTCCATAAAAAATACAAGTGAAAGGCAGAGCAAAACCTCTTCTGGTGGGTCATAGTAGATGCCATTGTATGGGATTTCTCCAGGAGCTTGTACAGCAAACTTAATCCAAGCAGGAATAGAATCCTTCAAGCCAGATGGAGTATCCATACGTATCTGCAAATTTTTGGACAAGCTAATTCCTTATTCTCCTTCAAAACGGTTAACAAGTGGCTGTGTAACAATTGATTCATCAGGCCAAGCAGTTACTCTAGATTCAGAGAGCTTCAAGAGGTGTATTACCTTCACCCTTGAACCATGGGGAATTGGCGGTGAACCATCTGCATTGTTGGGCAAAAAGATCTCCCACACACCAAACTCATTCTGCCCAGAAAAAAAGAAAAGGGGGGCTTAAGCGGATTTTGAATCCAAGAGACAAAGTTGATCTTTGTACACAGACATGGTTTTGCATTCAGATACACTTACTAAAAGAACCGGTATATTAGGAATTGGCTGGAATTAACCAAGAAATGAGGAAGGTCACATACCCTAGCCATGACATCTGCATTGGGATTCCAGTTGTTGAAATCTCCTATTAATGCTGCGCTCTGAAAAGAGGAAAGGGCCATTTTGTTACTACAATTCGATCATCATTCATCAATAACAGCAGTCAACAACACCCACTATCACAAAGTTTCATCCTTTTATAAAGTCAAAGGGAAAGTCACTATCACTAGGTCCTACTTCGTGGCCACACACAAATCTTCATTGCTACAATGTAATTCATTATATTGTACCCCAGAAAATGTAAGTGCTAATGTGCTATGAACATATTTTCAATGACAGTCTAATAATGTATGGAAAAAATGCAGAATGAAAGAAAGGGTACTTACTGTTGCTCCAGGTGCCCATTCTCTATATGTTATCCCTGTCTCACTGAGAAAAACAGTTGAGATTAGAGTTAGAGCCAGAGAAAAAGATCTGCTAATTAACTCATGGAATTGAACTTCCTTACTAGAGCAATTAGAAAAATAAAATGGCTGCTACAGCTGCAAATTTCCTGTTCCACTAGATCCTAGATTTGTAAATAAATGCTAAGATATGAAATTAGGAATAGGCTAGGAGAGGTGAACTAATACTTATCCTTGGAAGAAGTAAAACCAGTTTCATAGGCATCAGATATGATATATCAAATAAAAGCACAGTACCTGCGTATAAATCCAAACTTTTCATAGCCTCGTGAAAATTGCTCTAATCCACCTTCACACTTGTCAATTTCTGCACGTATTCTTTTGTACTGCGAATATCTGTAGATGAGCAGAACGGGTGGTTAAGAGGTTTATTGCATGAATGACCGTCAAACAATCACCATACTCTAGGAAAGCATAACGGTCTCATAACAATTCCCCTTAACTGGGGATGTTTTAGTAAAGTTTTTAGCCCCCAAGCATCCAGACAAATGAAGGAAATGTTGAATATCGCACCTGTAATCAAGATGCTGGCGGAAACCAGACAAAATTGGATCTATGTCATAAATTCTCTGCCCAGCACCAGGTGGAGGAACTGTTCTCTTGTCAGTTTTATCTCTTGTGCCTGGCAACACAGCAATTTTCTCCTGTTCGTTCAAGACTTCCATACCCGTAACACCTACCATTGCTGAGCTTTCTGGTACCTCATGAATGACCTACGAAAACAAGACCATGAAAACCCATAATTGAGTAAAAATGTAAGTGTTTCCTTGAAAAAAAATGGGAATGCACAACAGTTCTCAAACCTTGGAATCCTCTGAAACAATGTCTGAAGTCTCTAATTGATCTATAGAGGAAGAGGGTTTGGCTCCCGGAACAAGAACATTCGTCGGGGAAGAGGAGCCACCACCGGGAACAAGAACCTTTCCGGATTTGGTTGTCGTCAAATTCGAAGCCTCAGAGTCATATGAAGAACTTCCAGCAACAATCTTCCCTACAAACAAGCACCAGATTAGCCTTCTAACACCAAGAACCAACCCCGCCAACAACAAACAAAGATCACTACTCACTCACAAACCAAAATGCCAAGACAGGCACGATATCTCCTCCATTTCTAAAGTCCTCTTACCATTCTAACTCAACTCATTTCCAGTAAACCCCTACGAGATCATTCATTCAATCAATCAAATACTACTGTTACATCGGAGTAACTCAGAATGCAAACCGATTAATGCATTTATGAAGAAGAAAAAAGTAACTAAATCATTTCAAATACTAAGAATCGAGATCACATCATAGCGATTAGCGAAGAAGCTCACAGCACTTCGACGCGCTAAAACCTTCAAAATCCATCGACACAACAATCAAAATAGAAGCCGCCAGAAACGCAATTTCATCATAATCAGCAAGTAAACACAGCGAAAAACAAAATCAATCCCGCGCTCACAATTATTCATCAAAACCTGAAATGATCAAACAGGGAAAAAGGGACGAAACAGAAGAAAACAGAGGAGTAGAGAGTACTCGAGAGCGAGTGCTTCCTCAAGGGGAAAGACAGCGCGGTGGTGGCGTTCCCGGCGACGGAGGACGAATTCCGGCGAGAGCTGTGATGGACGGACGGGACGCAAGGGAGGCGGATTCCTGAAATGGTGTAGTACACCATTTTCGTTCGGGATTTCTGCTGTTTGATTCTCTTGCTTTCTCTCTGCAGCAGAGGAGAGAAAAATACAAAATAGAGATCACAGGAGTAACAGCGGGACAGAGAGGAGCTGGGGGAGGAGGGGATATGAGAGGGTTTGGGAGGCAGATCTAGTGAGCGGGTTTGAGTGGAGAAGCCATGGGCACAGGCGAGAGAAGCGGTAAGTGAGAGAAAGAAGAGGAGAGGGAGGTTAGAGATATTTCTGCGCGGAATTTTTTCTATTTTCTTTTAGGGAAGAAAAATTTGAATGTCTTTACTATTATTATTTCCTTCTAGACTAAGATATTTTTATTATTATTTAGTTAAAACATCAATAAATAAAAATATGCATAAGAAAATTTAAAAAAATTAGTTAGAGCAATGATAGAATTAGAAAATAATTAGGATCGGAAATAGTATGTAAAAATGGTAGAAAGCTGTTAGGGAAATTTCAGTTGGCCGTAATAATTAAATTTGGCTTTGCTTTGCCAGTAAACGGAAAACGATAAAAAGGAACGAGCGAAGGAGAGCGATACGTGTGCCGTGGGGAACTGCATGGGGATAGGAGTAGGGATGGCAACAAAACCCGAACCTATGGGTACCCATCCGACCGAACCCGGTCAACGCGGGTAAAATCTGTGTTGACGGGTTTTGGGCCGGGTTTGGGTTTAAACTCGTTCACTATTCAATGAGTTGGGTTGCGTTTGGGTTTAGGTAAACCCGGCCCGTGGGTACCCGCCCACACATATAATTAATTTTTTCGGTATATTTAATATTCTAAACAACTACTCTTATTTATGTTTGTGGAGACATGTCTAATTTTTTCTTTTTAATTGTGTAGAATCAAGTTGATGTTATGGAGTGGAGAGTAAAGAAACTTAATTGAAAGGAAGAAGCTTTCAATTAAACATGTTATTTATGGAAAATTTGTGATTTGCTTCAATTTTTTTGAGTTTTCTAGATTGGTGTTGAACAATTTGTATAGTTAATTTGTGATTTGCTTGAATTTTCTAGAATGGTGTTTTATATATGGATAATTTGTATTGAGAGATTGATATTTGACTTTAATTTTGATAAGAACTTGTAATTGTAAATTTTTTACGACAAAACCCGTGGGTACCCATGAACCCGCGGATACCCAACGGGTTGGGTTGGGTTTGAGTTTTTCAAACCCAGTGGGTTTTACCCCGAGTTTTTTTCAAAGATAAACCCATGAATTTTCTAGAATGGTGTTTTATATATGGATAATTTGTATTGAGAGATTGATATTTGACTTTAATTTTGATAAGAACTTGTAATTGTAAATTTTTTACGACAAAACCCGTGGGTACCCATGAACCCGCGGATACCCAACGGGTTGGGTTGGGTTTGAGTTTTTCAAACCCAGTGAGTTTTACCCCGAGTTTTTTTCAAAGATAAACCCATGGGTTTGGGTTTGGCAAAACCCGACCCAACTCGACCCATTGCCATCCCTAGATAGGAGGTAATGTGGGCCCGGCCCGGCTCGTTTGAGCCCATTCACTCCTCACCGTCAATTCTTTTGCTTTATTTTAATCCTCTGTAAGAAAAAAATAATATCCGGAAAATATAATGGTGGGACCCGCGGAGTGGGACTTCATGTGCGAAGCGTCGTCGTTTTCCTATGGCGGGTGGCTTTCTGGTAGTCCGGTACTGGTCCCTTGGAGCTTTCGCGCTTTTTTCTTTTCGCGGGAAAAAATAGAGAACCTTTCTGGAGATTTTCTTTTCTGTAGGACCTTTTTTATATATGAACTGTAGAGCCCTCCGGAGATCTTTTGTAACGTGAAAGTTGAATTCCGGTTTCCCTTTTGTCTTTTGGGAGATGAAAAATTGAAAACGATACAAGTACAGCGAGATGTTGATAACAATGAACATGACTACTTTGTTCTTTAATTCTTTTCCAATTTCCCATCAAGCTGGACAGGAATATGCCAGAGTACAATGTCAACTGATTCCAAATCCCAAATTCACAGCCTGTGTAATGAAGTTCTTAAGTCAAATATAATTCTCTTTCGACGAGATGTTGTTAGTATCATTTATCAATTTCATCGAGGGAAGGAAGATTGCAACCACGGGATTATTTGGCAGTCCGCCACCTTCGTTGATGATCATTCGAAGGTCTTCGATGTGAAGCTTGCCATGAACGTCCTGCAAGCACGACTAGGATACACATCTACCAAGAAGTGTTACTAAAGGGGCCGTCACAGTCACATGAGAGTCAATCTAGAACATCAGGGACTCTGTGGACGACAGTTATGCTACCTGAAAGTTAAACTTGAGACCTTGGATCATCAACACTAATGATGTTACCGTTAGCCTATTCCCTCTTTAGGCCAATTTGTTCTTTTTTGTTCTTCGTCCTAGCCACAAAAGCAACCTTGTTTCTAATTTAGGCTGCAATTAGAAATCCGTACCAAAATTTACTATAAAGTATGTGTAATAATGTCATGAATTCGTATTCTAACTCGTGAACATTAGTGAAACTCGAATAACTCATGAGTATGAATCTATGATACCGAATACGAAAAATACAAAGTTCATTTCCAAATCCATTTCAACTATAAAAACTGAAACGGTTCCATCAAAACCACCTACATGGTGGCCATCAGAACTCTAGGCCAGACCACCATGTTCAATCGAGTTAACCTTAGGAACAATTTACCATACCCAAAACTAATCCTTTTTTTATATATATCACAAGTAAAAAAAAAAGATAAATTACACAGTTGGTTAATTATCTGCATCATCAAGATTGGTTCTTCTCCTCTTCTCCTACCTCCTCTGTATTTCCTTTGAGGTAATATTTTTTTCTTTTACCTTTAAAAGCCTTTTGGTCCCTCTTTCTATCGTCTCTGGAAGTTAAGGTACTTGATACCGAAAGCAAACACAAAGAAGAACAAACAGACGAACCCCAAATGTGCCACGGCGACGGCCGGAAGGAAGCTGTGCTTGTATCCCAACCCTTCTTCCAGTACTTGCTTCACCGTTAGACTCTCCGACCCAGGAATCTCCACCAGGTTGTCCTTGTCGCCGACCTGGCTCGTCACCATGCCGTACAGCGTCCACGCCACCGGCGACGCCCAGTAGTACCACCTCCACCATATCGGGATTTGCTGGAAAAAAGGAAATGAAATCGGATTAAGCAAATTTCGGAACCGTAAACTCGTCGGCGGCGGGGGAGAAGTGATCAGAAGAGGAGTTTTTTCCGAGAAAAGCTTACCGTCCGGGGGATGAGGAAGCCGGCGAACAAGTTCCAGAACGACAAGAAGAAGGACATGCAGATGGCGGCGATCTGGTGCCCCGGCGTGAGCGCGACGATCATCATCCCGTAGAGCGTGAAGTAGACGAACGCCATGTAGATGTAGTAGAAGAAGAGCAGGAACTTGCCGACTTTCCACTCGAACCCGATCATGGAGTAGAGGACGATGTGGTAGATGGCTGTTTGGACGAAGACGTAGATCGCTTCTATCGACACCTGTCAGAAACAAATTCAATCAGTTTTTTTACGGATTGTAAAAAAGTACCGGAGGTTGTACACGAAAAAGTTAGCGGTAGCGAATTTTATGTTGAAATCGTGGTTGGTTAGCTTAGTTACCTGGGCGAATGCGTAAGGCAATGCAGAGTACATTCCGGCTGCTCGTTCGCGGTAGAAGACCGTTCTCTCGACCGAGACGACGGGCTGGACGGAGGAAGCATTCGTCGCTCCGAGGAAGAACACCGCGGCGTACATGGCTCCCAAGATGTTCATCAGGTCTTGCTGTTTCTCCCTGTTGGTAGGAAATCAAGTGTATGGCTGAATTGATCATTTTGCAGTTAAAAAGCTGACACTGCATCTGTATGTGAGAAATGTAGGAGATAGCAGGACTTACATCTTCTGGCCTTTCTTCCAGAAGATGAGGCCAAAGAGGAGGCCTATGAGAAACGTCAAGGCGAATCGAACGGCGTTGTACTGAGGGTTCCTCCAGTAAGACCAGTTCTGTTTCCAGAAACAAGCCTTGTACTGAGTATTGAAGGACTGTGAGTACTGCGTCGGGAAGTAGAGATCCTTGGACCCTGGTGCTGGTGTGTTGAGCTCCTTGATAAGTTCTTGATTCCGCCTGCGAATTTGGTTTTGAAAGATGAACATGTTTGACATAATTCGTTGCAAGTTATCATGGATGAGTTTGTTGGATGATGTGCTTACTGATATAGGGAGGAATTTGCATAAATCTGGGCGAAGTCCACATCTAGCTGCAGTTCCATTGATGGTGAACTCACTTCGAGCATCCATGTGGCAGGGTTGTATCCATCTTTGATACGAGGAACTCCCGGGACAGCCTTTTCGTACAACATATAAGATTCGTCAGAAATTGAGTAGATTGTTGACATTCAAGCAGGGATGGACAACAATTCATTACTTTATGACTCAGGGTAGATGAGCTAATAAGAAGTAAAGAGTGTGTTTACCTCGAAATACTCGACAAGCTTATGAGAATGGCGTCCCAGAGATCCAGCGTAGATGACTTGACCACCTCTTTTCATCAGCATTAGCTGCAAGAAGCAATGACCATTATGAGGATGAGTTCAAGAAGAACAAGGAACATGTAATATACAGAAAATTCAGAAGAGGCTAACCTCATCGAATGCTTCAAAAATGTCGATACTCGGTTGGTGAATCGTGCAGACGACGGTTCTCCCAGTGTCGACTGTGTTTCTCACGGTACGCATAACAATGGCAGCAGCTCTAGCATCGAGGCCAGAGGTGGGCTCGTCCATGAATATGATGGAGGGATTAGCAACCAATTCCACAGCTATTGTCAACCTCTTCCTCTGTTCTGTGGATAGACCATCTACCCCCGGAAGTCCAACTAAGGCATCTCTTATTGGATTCAACTCGACCAAATCCATCACTTCTTCAACAAACATCTGCAGGACAAAGAGTAGAAATGTGATCAACCCGAAATTCCCAACAGCAGCTTCTCCTGATCAATCACTCGTGCCAAGCGAGTGCACAGAGAGACTACATACCTGTCTAGTTTTAGAGTCAATATCTTGAGGAAGTCGAAGCCAAGCCGAGTACACGAGAGACTCGTACACAGTGACATAAGGAGAATGGATGTCATTCTGTTCACAGTAGCCACTGACACGAGCAAATGTCGCTTGGTTTTTGGGGTAGCCTGAAATGTTGATACTTCCTTCTACATACCCACCGGTCTTCCTTCCAGCCAAGACATCCATTAACGTGGTCTTCCCTGCTCCACTTACACCTACCAATGCTGTTAGTATTCCTGGTCGAAAAGCTCCGCTGACATCTCGTAACAGTTGGAGCCGAGTTTCTGGAACTCCCTGTGTCTTCATTTCCTGATTGTGGTAAGAAGAGACCAATGTGTTTACTTGTCTGAAATTAAGTATATTGCTTGACATGACTTGCAAATTCAGGAAACTATAAGGATGACTTACAGCAGGCATATCTACGTAGTAGTTCACATGGTTGAATGCTAGCGAAAGGGGTCGGAAGGGCAAAACCATTCCTCTTTTAGTCGAGTTAGAACCACCATTTGCTGATAAACTTCTCATGGCCATGTCAATACCTGTCAACATTTAAGCGTACGTAAGGCATTTGAACTAGCTCATGTATGTCTCCTTTATGTTATCTTTTACTTGTTTGCACTGGAAGAAAGCTGGAGGAAGCAGATCAGGAGAAACTGAAGGGCAAAGGAGTGGGATGTTCATTAAACCTTTTGTCCTCTCTTCCTTCTCTGCATCTTCATCTTGAATAACAGCTTTCGAGTCGGCAAATGCTGAAAATCGTCGGTGAGGAGAAATCAGCTTTGATTACCATGCAAGAAAACACAGAACAGCTCAAGGGATGATGAAATAACTTACGGTTCAAGTAACTCAGTGCTGCAATGAAACAAACATTGAACAGCACAGAAAACCCGAAGAGTGCTGCAATGCAAATCCAGTACCAACTTTCATCGGTAAAGAAGCCTCTAGATTTGAGAATTGCTTTCCCAACCGTAGTTTCGTTAATCCTAGGGTCCAAATTAGGCTGCATCACCAGAAGAAGAAGAAAAAAGTGGTTAGATGTGTACCTTACTCGCAAGCAAAACCCAACACGAGACAAACGAAGTGGAAGAAAACTTACCATACTCCATCTATCATCAAGAAATTCACTTATGACGACCGCATTTTGACCGTACATCATAGGAGAAATGTAGTATCCCCAGATCATCCAAGATTGAATGTCATCTGCACTCACATGACAAATAATACTGTAAGCATTGTAAAACTGAAGGAATACATAAGAGCAAGAAGGTTATTGGCCACTTACCTTTGGCAATAATGAATCCTCCCAGAACAAAAATGATAAGCAATGAGAAGGTTCCAAACGTGTTTGACACAACTGGTGTTCTTCCAACAGCAGCAATGAAGCGGAAAAGGGAGAGAGCCATCTGATGTATACCGAAGAACGCCAGAAACTGTTTGAAAAGCCTGAATCATCACAGTAAAGTTTCAATCAAGTGGAAGACTGAACCAAAGGTGAAAGAATAAAATATTGAAACAGCTCTAAATCCTAAGTTACCTGCTAGCAGATGGAGCAAAACCAATAGTGTAGTAAGTTAGAGCAATCCATATAGCGGATTCCAAGAAAGAGATAGGAATTCTGAGGATCCATATGGGAAGTCCAAAAGCCCATGCAGGATAAAATAAGAAGTCCCTCTGTTTGAAAAACACAGGAAGCCTGAAAACAGTCATGGCAAGCTCAGCCATTCCATTAAACATCATGTTAATGAGACTGAAGAACAGCGCCCCGAGGAACTTGTTCCCATCCGATACAGTCCCAACTTTCATCGTTGTCCTCAGAAATACCGTGAAGGCGATTATCGACATGATTGTTATCTGGGTGGTCTTGAATATATACACGAAGTTGTTCCGCTTCATCAGAAGCAATTCCCTCGAGAAGCATGCCCTGAAGAGCTCCCAATTCGAGATCCCGTACTTGCTTTTCACGAGCGCAGCATCATGTACCTTGGACCTATCGTATGGAACACTAAGATCTGATGCAATCTGCTGGCCGACATGGAAAGAGTGGAAGCCTTCGACAAACTCAGCGACTGAGACATATCGATAAGGCTCGTTCCTCTTGTACCAGTACTGCTCTTGATCCTTCTTGGAAGTCACCTCTTGTAGAAAGTCTGCAACTCCTTTCCTATCTGGGCATTTGAACCCCATATACTCAAAGAACTCGAGCACATTCTCTCGTGGACCTTGGTACACGATCCTTCCTTCCGAGAGCAAGATGACTTCATCGAAGAGCTCAAATGTCTCAGGTGCTGGTTGTAGAAGAGAGATGATCATGGTTACTTCCATGATGTGAACCATCTGTCTCATGAACTTGCAAATCTGGAAAGTGGTCGAACTGTCCAACCCAGTTGATATTTCATCCATCAGAAGGACCTTTGCTGGTCCACACAACATTTCTCCTGCATCCATTAGCAGCCCTTGTTAGAATAGCTCTCTCATTTCACATGTTTTCCCCCCAATTCAAGAAACTCATACCAGTTGTAACACGCTTCTTTTGTCCTCCAGAGATCCCTCTCTGCATCTCATTCCCAACGATGATATCCGCGCAAATGTCCAATCCGAGAATCTGATAACAAGTGTCACACACCAAAAAATCAGCAAACGAAATCGAAAACAGAATCAATTAAGTCTACAACTAGAATTAAAGAAAGGACTAAGACCTTGAGAATGTAATCAGTGACCAAGCTAGTCTTCTGGCCAGAAACTGCAGTGGCCTTCATGAAGGCATCAATCTCAGGATCAGGCTTAATCCCGGCTTGTTTCTCCCGCCTGGAGAGCTCCACCAGCATCTCATATCTCGTCCCCACCCCCAAGCATCGCCCGGAGAAGTCGAATGTCTCCCTCACCGTCATCTCGCCATGGTGGAGATCGTGCTGACTGATGTAAGCGCACGTCCTCTGTGGGACAAACTCGTTGAACTCATGGCCGCAGTATGTTATCTTTCCCGAAGACTGCTCCACATAAAAAAATTCATTACCCTCTATCCATAAAATGATCAAACAGATGTACAGAAATAAGATAGTTTACCTTGAGATCATGATCGAGCTTGCCAGCAAGAGCAAGCAGCATTGTAGTCTTCCCAGCCCCTGGAGGACCCAGAAGAAGCGTCATCCTGAAGAAACAGAATCAGAAAAAGGGGAAATTAAGAATCAATCGATTGAGAAATGAGAACTCATCAATGGCAGCCGCTCAACGCCATTAGATAAACAAAGACCTTGATGGTTTCACGATTCCACTGATATCTTGAAGAATCTGTATCTTCCTCTTCTTCGATGGAGCCAGCCGAATCCATCCAAGAACGTTCTGTTCAAAGAATCGGAAATTATGAGCTAGTCAAACTGAAGAAGAAATGAAGTTCATTCCAAGTCAAGCAGTTTTCCCAAAGTAGCTGGTTTTTCTAAATGCGGAATTTGCGAAAAAGACGAACGAATTGGGGGAAATCAAATGAAAAAAAAAACCTCGACGGTGTTAATGGCGGTGTTGAACAGAGTGGGAAGAGCTCTGCTGCCGACGTGAACCTCGCCGTCGACCGATAAATGCTCGTACCTCACTTCAATCTTCGGAACTTCAATCCCTACTCTGTATCAACAAGCCAAACAGAAAATAAACCGGAAAATCAAAATCGAAAACAGGATCAGAAACCTAGAAGAGAGAAAAATCAAAAAAATCAAATTCGAATTCTAGCGGTTCGAATTCCAGACCGATCGGTTCGATCTCTGAGCCGCCGGAGGAAATTCTCGTTGTCGTTCTCAACGACCTTCAGTATATTCTCCATCAGCTGCTTCCTGTCCTGCATCCCGAGCTTCGTGACGTCGACCTCGCTCCGGACGACCGCGCCGTCGTCGAGCACGGTCTTCAGCACGCCCTTCCTCATCCTGTCGAACGTCGGCAGCCGCTCGATGGCCGCCCACCGGAGCTCCTCCTCGTCGTCCTCCTGCTCCCTCCCGCCTGCGCGGCTGAACGCGTCCGTCGCCGGCGCCGAGGTGAACACGTCGCGGAAGCTCGCCGTCGCCATCCAGCTCCGGTGGCTCGTAGAGCCGAAGCTCCGCCTGCTGCTCGTCGATCCCACGAGATCGTCCCCCGTCAGTGCCGCCGCCATTTCCGCTCGGCTCGGTAATCGAAGGGGGAGGAGGAAATGGGGGGGAAAGCGGTTACTGAACAGTCGCGGTCAAATGAATTCGCAATAAATGTGAGTTGCAGTGGTGGAGCACGATTGGGGAACCCAGGCCACCGGAGCTAAGTTGTCGGCATTGTCTGCATGCCGATCTCCGGCCGACGGAGGGGGAGAAAAGTCAAAGCGGATGATGGAGAGGGAGAAAAGAGAGGGCGGTGGTGGAGGTTTGAATCATGGCAGCAGAAGCAGCAGCAGACTGGTAATGTTGTTTATGGGAGTGGATTTTATAGCAAATTAGCGCGGCCATGTGATAATCTGCCTGTCGTACGGCTATTTTTCTGCGGGGAAAAAAATGCCCGCTTTGTCTAATCCGAAGTTAATTAATTAATTAATGGATTAACTTCTAGTGGTTAATCATTTGATTGTGGTAATGAGTTATGAGTTATGACTGAGATTTTTTTTGTTTTTTGTTTACAGAGAGTTATGACTGAGATTTGGAATCTTCATGGTAATGCAAAGTGATAATAGCTAGTGCTTCTAGTAAGATTGGAAGGATTAATTACTCGGCAAATGCTGTGAATTTTTTGGGTAAACATTTCCATACTTTAATAAACATTACATTTAATATATGAAGTAGGGGTGTCAGTACGAACCAAGAAAATCGTTAGAAACCAAAAAGTTCATTTGTTCAAAACTGAAACCAAAATCGGAAATCAATAAGGATCTATCGATTTTCTCATGTTAAGGAAAATGATAAGCTTTTTGAACCGGTTTAATTTCGGTTAAAACCTAAAAACCAAATACGAACCGCCACCCAAAATATAAAGTAGAAATTTCAACTAATCTCTAATTATCGAAGGACCGAGTGATTAAGAGGCAACGATTTGATCCGTATCATACTGAATGGATATGTGTAATATATTTCGGTTCAATTTTGCGCTCTCGTAATTATTCTAAATACGAAGGAAAAAATTAACCGAAATAGAATTCAGAAAGAATCGAATCGAACCAAATATAAATTTGATCTTACTCAATTTCGCGTAAAATTTTAGACTTCATCAATTGTTACCGCCTCTTACCGACAATATCTTGATGGTAGAGGATCATGAGTTTCATGTTTGAATCCTAACGACTCCTAACCTAGTAAAGTCGACTAAAACATATAAAAGGACTACCAACGGAAACAACACATATTTTGCAAAATAGGCAGCCTTAAATGGCTTCTTTCTTCTTCCCTCACCGCCGCCCATTTAGTTTCCGGACCATCGGATTTCCGCCCAAGCGTCGCCGCCGACGTCCCTTTCGCTGCATTCTTCCATTAAACCTTTCCCATAGTTGCATGGCGCTCTTCTTGTTATATAGAATTATGGCACCGCCAGTTTCGAGCATTATTAAAGACCGAATAAATGAATAAAATCAGAGGAACGATCCATTTTAGGGGGAAAAAAACAAAACAAGAAAGAACACAGACACTATAGACTGTAGTTACTAGTTATGAATCGTTTATCCGTTCGATAAAAAAAATTACGATTAAAAATGGTTTATCCATCCGCCAGCTACTTCTTCGACGTACTTACTATCTGCAATGAATACTTCGGCGACGACTACGGTGGCATTTATTATTTATATGCCTCCGTCATGGGCTTTTTTCCATTTCTGTTCATTCCTCCAGTAGTCCAATTCACTCCCGTCCGGTTGTAAATTGTAATCTGTATTAGTTAACAATTCAAGATCCATACATAAATATTTTTCAACATCTCGAATTATTTGAGAGTAATTAACTAATGACCGTCGTGGTGATACATATGTAATACATAGAGGTGGCAATTTCAATCCAATCCACCAATCCAATCCATCAATCCATTAAAAATATCCACCTAATCCAATCCATTTAAATCCAATCCATTTGATCCAAATCCAATTGGATTGGTGGATTCATGGATTGGATCCATGGATCATTGGCAAATTACGGTTTAGTACCTATAATTTTTATTTTTTACATTTTGGTACCTAAAATTTAATTTTTTATACGAAAAATATCATTGGAAAATTACGTTTTGGTACCTAAAATTTTTCATTGTGACATTTTAGTACCTAAACTTTTTACATTTTACATATTGGTCCTTGGTTGAGGATGTCATTTGGATTCACGGATAATCCACCAATCCACTTGATCCAATCCATGAATCCACCAATCCATTAGATCCAATCCATTTGATCCATGGATCCACCAATCCAATCCACCAATCCACCAATCCAATCCATTTGCCACCTCTACTTACACGTCCTCCCAAGTGAAAATTAATTTATGAGTTTGAAGTTTGCACATATCTTTCATACCATGTGTTTTAAAAACAACGACTAAGTCGTGAGTACTTAAACATGGGACCTCAATTACAAACCAACTCAAATACCAGGTCATAAACCAACTGCTTATAATAACTCAAATTGTTGAAAGAGATGCATATATATTTTAACCAGCAGTACTTCCTTCCAACTTCGTACCGTCCAATACTGTTTCGACGTCTCTTATATTTTTCTTGATGGATGAAACAATATCCACTCTTCTTCTTTTGCTACATAATTCTTATATTTTTTTTAAAATCAGAATGCGCGACTCGTATGATCAAAGGATGTTTTAGCTATATTTAATATTTATACATGATTAACTCTTTGGAAGTTGGGCGTTGAAACTTGGAGCCATTTTCCCCACCATATACGATTACAATTTTAGTAACATTAGCTCGTTATGTGGGTTTCACAATCCAGGTCGATTTCACATGTTTTGTTCGTTTGAATACAATTAAACTAGCTAACAAAAACGAGCTCTTCTTGGCACTAACCTTGCCTAGCTATAACAATTTTGCATGACATGCATCCATCGATCGTCTATCTATAACTGAGCTTGCTTTCGAGATTTGCCCACTTTGTGAGTTGTGATTAGCTAGTTAGGCCATGACAGTTTAGTTGCTTTCGGCTCTATACTCTTCCAAAAGAGTATTGCATGTTGTCACAAGGCATTCACACAACTAGTTAGCATGATCCTTCCGCATAAATGCAACCGGTCGCTTTTCTTATCAGCAGCTTATACTCTGTTTGTTTCGATCGATCCATCAATCGATTTGAACTGTTGTAGTATCAGCAGCTTGTACTACATATTGCAAATATTTTTTTTTAGCTATTAACTGTCATATTATGATGGATCAAGGTCGGCCCCTGGTAGACCTTGGCCTTTATAGGGGGTGTTCACTTTCGGACACCTCTAAAATTTGATAGTAAAATTAGCGATCCTCTGATAATAGCTAGTATGAGTTTGAGGGAAAATGAAAACAAAAACTAATATGTAGTGATCTATGTAATTCGAGACACTACAATTACAAAAGAACTTGTTATCATTGCATTACAAATGATTTGTTCTTATGTTAACACATAAATGTAATTATAAGCTTAAACTAAAGTCTAGTTAAATCCCAATTTCTCAAAAAATTTAATCCAAGCACTAAACTAAATTGTTAACTCTTCACAATTCTGATATTGACGAAACAAAGTATGAACCAACCCCCCTAGTCCAATGGTTAACCTCCACTCTAATATTGTTGTAGATTGTACACGTACTTTATTTTTTTCCTATATTTTTTAATTTTCATAATATGAAAAAACGCATTGATATTTTATTATAATTTGCATTAATCGGATATTTTTATTTATTAAATTATATATTTACTGTAATTTTTGCCACAGGACACCTCTACATAAAATTTATGGATTCTAGACTCTAGTAATCAAAATCTCTCATATGCGATCAAGAGTTTATGCCCCGAATCCCTCGTATGATCGGGTCGTATCGTCAACACAAAACCCTAGTAAATTGATCGCCATGTACTCAATTATCGAATGGTGTATGTCATGTGATATTTGTCCTTGTATAGATGCCCAATGCGTTACATCAAGCAGTTGCCCTGATTGAGAGAAGACGTGGGAAAGAAGTAAAGCCACATTTTAAGTCTCTATGATTGATTACGACAATTTGATTACTGCTATTGTTTTGACCTTTGAGGATAATAATTAATAATACAGCGGCTAGGCTTTCCATTGTGGCGTACGACTTCTTTGTATGTATTTATATATACTGCATGCCTAACGAACAAGCAAACAACATGCACTGTTGCCGAATTTATTTCCGGCCGACCATATTCATGGCTTCAATTTATATATTCTCCTTTCCTTCCTTCGTTCATTTCCAGTTCACGTTCTCTTTTTGGACAGATTTTTACAGGCCATGTTGACGCTAATAGAAAACTCATAAAATATCTGATCTGAGCAAATATATTTTCCACAGACCACAGTTATATTTGATAAATAGATCTTTTGTGACGAAAGAACTGGTAGAATGATAACTCGTCGGTAAAACACGTCATAAACAGTCATTTCCTCGAGTGGTATTACTTACATCAGTGGAGCATGATTTAATAACTAGTTATAACAAGTCTACAAGTGACATATTCATCCTAGTTTGGCGAGCCATTCAATCGGCAAGTGAGTTGATTCGTCGATGTATAAACTCGACCCTATTTCATGTTGTTAATTGGAGAATGGAAATCATTATTTGTGCAATAGTAGCAGGGACGAAAACGAGTAAATGCTCAATGATATGTTTTGCATTGAATCAAATTGTGGGTTTAATACCCAAAGTTACAACAGAATAAACGTGAGCCAAGCAACACGTAGCAGAGAAATAGGAGTAGTGGAGCTAAACCTTAGGAACTAACCAAACAGATTACAATAATTAAAGAATTAATCATATATCCTTATCACGCCCCCGCAAGACGGAGCCGGGAACGACTCCGATCTTGGACCGAAGAAGATGAGAACGAGCAATGGGCAGCGGCTTGGTTAAAGCGTCAGCAAGCTGATGAGCCGTTGGAATATGACGAACATGTAAAGCGGCAGCTTGTACAAGCTCACGAACAAAGTGAAAATCAAGTGCCAAATGCTTCATTCGGGAGTGGAAAACCGGATTGGCCGAGAAGTTAACAGCACCAAGATTATCACTGTAGAGAGTCGGGGGTTGCGAGGATGGCTGGTGAAGCTCTTTCAACAGATTTTGAACCCATAGAAGTTCGGCTGTGGCATGGGCAATAGCACGATACTCAGCTTCGGTACTCGAACGAGCAACAGACCGTTGCTTTTTGGACTTCCAGGAAACGAGATTACCACCATAATAGAGAAGATAGCCCATAGTG